TGCTCTTGAAGTGTTGATACTCATTCAATATTTAATCTTTGTTAGGTCAATAATATTAGGTGGAATTGAAGACAGTTGTTAAAAGCAAAGATACTAATTACATTGTCCATTAAAACCTTTGTCTCAGTCTTCAAACATGGTATGGACCAAGGCCCAGGTATCACTGGGGACATAGCTGAAGTATCTGTGGAAAATGTAGTCAGAGTACTCTTCCTAGACAGTTAACAGGGAAAAGGGGCATCTTCAGAGTTTGATTCAGCTGAACTAAGATTTGAATTGCATTTTGAAGTTGCCTGTGTCTCTTTGATGACTGTGGGAGTCTGACGATTAGGCTCCTTACTTAGAGGCCTCATGTAAGTGTCAAAAATTTATCATATTTAAGAACATTGGTTTAAAATTACTGCTTATATGCAGTATGTGATTTCCCAGTGATTAGTTAGGAGAAGAATATATGAAGTGTATTAAGTCAAAAATTAGAGTCAAAATTACAGGTATCAGATTAAGTCTGGCAGCTCTTTGGATGTGAAATTTAAGTAGAAAATAAGGGAGTATATAGCAAGTATAGCCATGCCTTACATTCCTTATATCTTTAAGAAGTGCAGCAGTTTGCAACAAATAAATTGTACATTTTATCCTGGGTTTTCATATTGCAAGTTCAAAGTGCCTACTGTAGACAAGACTCCACTGCAAATAATTGTAACACTTCTGTTCAGGCTAGAAGTTCCTTAGTATTTCATATTTCAGAGTAAATAGACAGGATTTCTCCTTTAAATGTCATTTATAGTGACAGAGGTTTCTTGTGAAGGATGGGGCAAATGCATGTTGGCCAGAAATACTGACCAATAAATTGTTTTCTCCTGCAATGCCTGTAGTTGAGTGCTGAAAGTACCAATTGCCTACCTCTATATTTATGATAAACCCTAGAAGAGACTTAAGGTCTAGTTTTCATTGATACAAATTAATTTATAGAATTTTTAAACCCCGAATTTTTATTGGTCTACATATAATAATTTTCTTGCATCTCATATCTGAAGTTAATGAAGTTGTAAATAAACTGTACTCTGGCTTCACTTATGTAAAGCAAATTGTACCTGACAGCTTATAGAATAATTTCAGTGTGTTTAGGAAGCTGTTTTCAGCAGAGAACATTCCAAGATTTCTTTAAAACACCTGGTAGTACTGAATCTCAGTAAACTGGAGTGATTGAAGATATTTTAAGTTGATTTTATTGGAAATTTTCATATATATAAAAAATTCTGTCTTGCACATGTGGACTCAGTACTTAATAATTCTCTGAAATAATGAGTTAATATATTTTTCCATTGATTTTTGAGGATTTCTGTGTCTGTTTCACTTGCTTTGTTTGAAATTTTAGTGTCATATTGCACATAAACAATATTTTAAAATAACATAAAATGCTTCTCAGGGGAAATTAACAATATTGATTTATGTAATCCTGGATGGCCCCATCATTGTAGATGTCTAAAATATATCCCACATGGCCTCTGGATGCCATTCTAGATTGATATGGGTTTTTCTGTAGTTGTGTGACATATCAGCTAACCTTGCACTGATGGCTTGAAGCTCTGCTATGTCTGAGATGACACCACACACCCATGTTTGGACAACTGAATCACTCCTGAAGTGACTACTGTATTAGGGTCTCCTCTACAAAAATGTACCCCCAAGGCAGTGAAGAGTCATGTTGCATTGGGTTTGTGGTTGTTAAGGAGGTTGTCAGCAATCAGGAGAGTTGACATCAGTGTGGGTTTTTTGCCTGACTTTTCCACTGCGAACCTTGACCTTCTTCTGTCCTTTTTGTCTGGTGTTCCTGTTCTTCCTCATTATTAGAGCAGGCACCCTTGGTGCATATGCTGGAGCCCATAGAGGAGCTTTCAGAAGAGGAAAAAGGTAATGATTGTTTCAGCTCAAAATACAGTGGCATGTGTTTCTTGAAAAAAAATATATTATTTGATACCTACAGTATTTTTCATTGTATTTCAGTATGTTTATGTGATTTGGATGGGAACATGCTTTGTGTCAGTCTCCTGTTTGCTATTGGTGCTTGTAAATATTACGATTTCCTTGTCCAAGTTCAGTGTTTTTATGAAAATCTGGATAACCTCTTCACATTCCATATTTCTAAAGGCACTTGAACTAAGGAAATTTTTGGCACTGACACCGTTGCAGTGTGTACTCACTTCCTTTTTAAAGTCTGCATCAGAGGATAAAGAGTCCAGGTAGAAGAAGGAAGTTGGTAGTGAAGGTTGAAGCTGCCAGCTTTTATAAATGCACCACAGATACTTTAACAAGTCCTCTTAAGTTACACCTACCCCTAAGCAGCCACAGCTCCAGCCAGGGTTGTGCAATTCAGAATGAAATCACATAGCTCAGCATTGGTTCTGCCTCATCTGAGGAAAACTTGGAGAAAGCCATGTTTACAGTGGCAGAACAGAAAGCACTGGATCATGCTGTGTGGTATTCTTCTCCTGCAGGCAGCTAACAGTGATACACCAAATAGCTGAATTGCGTTATCATCTGTACTCTGTGCAAAAATCAAAATCCATCTTGAACATTTCAGACAGTGAGTTTAAATTTTGAAGGAATGATGCTGTTTTGAAAACGAAATTGTCATTTGAATTCCTCTCTGTGTTGAGGTTTCCCCAGGGAAAATCCAGTAGCTCTGAACACTCTGAAGTAAAGGCTACTTGCATTTTTGCCGTTCTTTCTGCTATTTCTCTTGCTTGCCATCTTCTCTCTTGATGGATTGTCTTTGATTCTTCTGCTGTGCCTGAAGGCATGGCCTGCAGTGCAGAAGAGGGAAAGAAAGAATGCAGTCTGAAAAGGTAGACCAAGATTTTTTTGTTTTCTGTGACAGTCATTTGTAAGGGGGAGTGTGAAAATTCTTGACTTGGGACATTGTTTTCTAGGATTATGCAGGAGCTGAGACTGTGGACCAAACTTAAGGTCCCTTGTCTCCAAAGTTGTTAAATCTCGTATTTTGAGATTCAAAAATGAATATGAAAACAGTTCCTCAAACAGTTGCTCTGGCAAAGAGGATTTGGCTTGAGTTAATTAGCAAGAAGTAATATTATCATTAATTAGGATAAAGCTGGATAGTCTTGTCACCCAAATTAGTATGTAGTAATTAGGAATTTAAAAATTACTTTAAATGTATCTATTTTGTTGTAAGGATTAACATCTGAAAAGGACAGGATTTTCAGGAGGCTCCTGGGAGCCTTCTGCTTTAAAATGTCATGTGTGGCTTTCTGGGAGGATTTCATACTGCATAATGCATCGTGTCCTGACTGGGGTAGTCTGACAGCCCTTTGTTTCCTAGAGACCAGTGCTTTGCTTCTTCTGGGACTCAGCTCTCCAGCTCAATCACTTTTAATCCTATCTCTGTCACGGACTGAGTTGTCCACACAGCTCCCAAAACCAGATGAGATTTCAGCCAGATTATGTCCTCTTCAACACATATCTATTAGTATGGGAGCTGGACTCTCAGTTTTCATTACCTGTAGTTCATTCCAGGGTCCATCAGACGTCAGTTCCTCAAAATAGCCTAAGTATCACTTGTGTATCTTGAGGCTCTTTTGTGTCCTCTTCAGGGTGCTTATCTTTCCCTTAAAGAAAAATGAAAAGTAAATGGAACTGCTTTTTATGCTCTCATTGTTTAAAAATAGGAAAAGTAGCACATTTGTTTTGAAAGAAAACATTTGAAAGTGACAATATGGAATTCTTTCTTCATTTATGCCCTTGTCTGTGGGCTGGCAGATGACTCAGCCGCCCTGTAGAGCGTACTGGAAAGAGACAAACTCCTAACCAAGATCTAGCCTTTATTTCAGGCGAGTTGGGTTTATGGCGTGCTTTCCTGGGATATTTTATACCCCTGTATGTATGCATTGCCAGCTTTGCTGACCACTGCCAGACAGAAGCAGCCATCATGATTCCACAGATTATTAGTTCATTTAGTGCAAGTGGCATTCAGTAAAATTTCATCTTGCCAGTGGCACTTTATAGTCAGGTTCCAGGTGGGTGTGTTTTTCTGCTTTACTCACCTGTATGACCCTGTAATACCTTGGCCTAACTTAAAGGTCAGTCTTTGTTTTAGATTAAAGAATCTGTCTAGATGATTCTTTATGTCTTGTTCATGTCATTATTGACACTTGAAGCAAGGGAAAGAAGATAGGAACTGCCTGCTTTTAAGTGTGTATGTCATGGACTTGCACGGAAGAAAACACAACACAGAACTTTGTCCTTGAAAGAGTTTTGAAGATCAGTATTATCCATCTTGTGTTTTCCGTGAAACAGTCTGCCCCAGACTAAGGCTTTGTCCTTACCAAGACTTTTGAAGGAGTTACAACTTTACAAATAGGTGATTTTTATCAAAGAACCTCATGTTTCTAGTGTGTATGTCATGGACTTGCACGGAAGAAAACACAACACAGAACTTTGTCCTTGAAAGAGTTTTGAAGATCAGTATTATCCATCTTGTGTTTTCCGTGAAACAGTCTGCCCCAGACTAAGGCTTTGTCCTTACCAAGACTTTTGAAGGAGTTACAACTTTACAAATAGGTGATTTTTATCAAAGAACCTCATGTTTCTTGAAGCTTTTCTTGAGAAAAAGTTTGTCATATTCCTGTTGTAATTCCTGATAGAGTTCAGCTTTGATGTGAAATACCACTTTCAGATAATTTAATTATCAGAATAGAGTCGTCTTTTACCAGAGGTTTTCAAGTACAATACTAAAAGGAAAAATATTTGTTGCTAAATATTCAATCTTGTATCTTTACTGTGAGTCTGTAACAAGAACAGTAAGAGATACTTGTGATGGTGAGTACAAGGTGCTGAGGTGTAGAATCCAAGTGAGATGACTTTGAAAACGAGCCCAAGATTTTGAAAATAATACAACTCCATGTAGATAAAAAGTGCACATATATGTCCATGGTGTTTCTAAAGGACGCATGCTTCACTGCAGCTTTGTCTCATGTGCTGTGGATGTTTCAAATATCTCTTAAATGCATTTTTCCATTCTTATTTCAGAAGCTGAGAAAAGTGATCGTAAACCAGGTAGAAGTAACCACTATTTAATAAATGCTTTGAAGACTCATCCGTCTTTAACTAAAGAATTGAGAGTTGTTTTGGAGCAAGCCCTGGAGGAGAAGCTGGAATCCTTGGGAATTAAAGCAGTAAGATTCTTTTGAGTTACTTAAAAGAAGGACAGTCTTTGTCTTACTTCTTTTTCTGTTCTCTTTCACTCTTGCACCACAGTCCTCAGCCCATAAAATCCAAAGCTAAATTTCCATGTCATAAATAAGTCTTAATTCCTTAACCACTAACTTGATGGATGGCCACCAAGTTACAGTTGTGGAGGATATGGCTACACTTGTGAACAGTGTGACCAACTTCTGTGATTTTTCTACAGGTTTTGTCATATCTGAAGTTTAAAAGAGTGTAGATGATTGTAGAAGATAAATCCTAGAAATACTAGCAGCTGTGTTTCCAATGCGATCTGTTTCCTCAGGGTGTTCGCGGTATCCCAAACGATTGCTTGAGTAAGATCTTGCGCGTGGTTGAACATGCAAGAGAATGCAAAGAGAGGCAGGAGCCTGCTATGCACCGAATTCGAGAGCAGCTCGAGCGTCAAGTTAGCTTCAGGGCTGAAGAGAAATCCTCATCTTCTAGTAGACCGGTTTCCCATCTTCAGCTTCCTTCAGATGGTCACAGTGGGTTTTGGCTTTTATTTCATTGTCTTAGATTTTATAACTGCTACTAAAGATTTTATATAGCAATGTTTCTATATAGCTGCTTTCATGTTTTGTCATATAAATATTCTGTATGGTTATGGCCAACTAAACAGCTTTCTTTAAAGCCTTCTTGACATTGTGTTTAACTGCGGAAATCTGAGTTCCTGTATTGGCAAGCTATCTAGTGTTATGTTAAGAGTATAGCAGAAAATAGCCCCCCTTGCTTTCCAGCTGGTCCCTAGAGATCAGAGGACCTGGGTATGGCTAGGCTTAGTTTCTGATCATAAGCAATTCAGTACTGTAAGTTCTGCACTATTCAGCATTCCCAGATACACCAATAGTGTGGGTTACACTACAAGTCTGGTCTCATTTGCAATCACAGATTCACCAACCACGGCATCATGGCATCGATCCCTCTTCCACCTGGCTGATCACAGCAATAAGGGTCATTCAGTCTCTACTCAATAACTTACCACCCCCTCAGCATGTCATCATGTCCACAGTAATCCCTTAGCCACTCGTCTCATGGCATAGCTCATGGAAATCCCTTCACCATGTATCTTGTGGCTGTAGGCCTCATTCCTACATTATCCATCATGTAACTACAGTTGCACCTTCATTTTGGTGTCCCTGTCACACCTGTATATAGTCGATTTTTGGGATGTCTCTGTAGGGCAATTGCTCATACCTCTCCCCCCACACCTTCCATTATACCATACCCAGACCTTGTGTGTACCTGATGGATCATTATCCAGATTTTTACATACATGACTATTATCAAAGCAAGACTTATGAGAGTCAATATTAACAGAGCAACAACAGGATGAAGTAGTTTATTGAAAATCCCTGTAGTGGTGGGTGACCCTCTGAAAAGGGTGTTCCACCACTGCTGCTCTACATCCTCCTTAACGTGTTCCAAGACATGATTTATTTCTTCTGCATTGTGATGTATAGAGATCATTCTTAGGGCCATTTTCTCGGGTTCATGTAAACACTCGTTGTTACTCATTGTGTTGTAACAATCTCTTCACTAAGATAATGTTCATTCCGATAGGTACAGGCAACAAATCTTGAATTAGTGTATAGCTTGGATGTAACAACTAGTAGGATGATACAGGAGCTGAATCAATTTAAAGTCACATCCCATAATTCTAACAAAATGACACAAATATTTGTGTGTTTTGTTACAAAGCACAAATTTTTGTTACAAAAGCCCACGAATATTTGAGGGATTGCATGCATCTACAGCAGTGTTATCTACAAATATATGGTCACAAAGCATTCTCATTCAAACACATCCTCTTCCAATATATACAGGTATTGTCTCAGAAGTATCCTTGGGATGTATCTCAAAATGACGTTTGTCAAGACAAATGTCTTGGGCTTTGATGGTGTTACTGTCACAACTGAATCCTTGTCATTCCCATACAACACATGCACTAACATCAGTGGTTTGCTGTTTATTTCTGATCTGTCAGGCCCATTCTCTGTGTTCCAATGGATAGAGTACAGCCCATAATCCAGTTGGTTGGCGTAGATAAAAGAAGTGAGGGTCTTCACCCTGTGCATTGAGCTTGTTCATGTGTGAACCAAATTTGGTTTATGCTGGCAATGATTGCTCCTACAAGAAGGATAAACAGGCCTTAGATTGTTAACTTGGTCTTCAGTGGAGGTGTTGCTGGTGTCATTCCCAGTATCATTCCTGGAAAGGGAAGACAATATAAATCTCATCAGGGTTTGTCCGGACAGGTTACCCCTTGGTGGCTCAACTTGTTTAACTGCTTGGCCTAATGACAAAAGTCCCTTTTCCCACTCAGAACATCTATGTTCTGTCTCTTTTGAATGCAGTCGAGCTGAATCTCTTTGGTCCATGAGGGCCAGTTTGAAACATGTTGCAGGAAGCACCATGTCCAGCAGAACTCCATTCTGCTCAAGAGGGTCACTGGGGTGTCTACGACTGAGCTGTTGGAACAGCCTCATGTGCTGCTCAGTCTGTTCCCATGATTTTCCTTTTTTTTCACAAACATCTGGTGTTCCCATTAGCTATTGTAATTCTTTTAGACTAGACAGATTCTGCTCATGCTCTATTTTTTCCAGGGTGTCAGAAGCGGTTCCTTTAATCCACCAGTCTCTGAGGAACTTAACCTCCTACGGGCACTTGACACTTGGATGTAGGAATGTCTAAGCCTAAGGCTGTTAACCCATTCCTCACATTTTCTGTGCATGCATAACCTCTGCAGGGTGTTCTCCACCTGTTGCTATGTCATCGTGTTGCAAAAGTGTCACTATAGGCCTGACACCACACGAGGAACAGCCTTTGAATTCTGGGTCTGCTTGCATTCAAAAGAGCCAGTTGGGGTCATGAATAGCACAGTTTATTAATGCAGCATATGTGTTAAAATACAATTGCAATCACAAGCTTAATTGCCCAGGTCAAAACACTCAGCATAGCCGAGGATGCATTTCTTACCAAAAGGTGTCTGATCTCTGAGGACCAGCTGGAAAGCAAAGGGGTTTATTCCGTGCCAAATTGCTACACTGTTTAATGCCACACATGGTAACTGTGAACTGCTTTGAAGAAAAAAAGGTCTTTCTTCTTTTTTGTAAAACTATAATCTGCAGCAGAGACTACATCTTTAGTTGTAGAAATTAAATATAAAAGATACCAGACATTGTTTCTAAGAATGAGATAGATAACTTTTCTTGTAGATAAGCAGAACTTCAGTCAATTGGGAATCTCCCCATCTGCCACAGCACAGAAACCAGTAAAATGGTCTTCAACACCTGTGCATCCACCTGGCCAAAGAACAGCCTTCACAGAGAAGACATCAACACCAAAGTAAGGGGTGCCATTCTCATAGTACTCACACCTCAGGTAACAGTCCTGTGGGTTTGGGGTTCTGTGACTGATGTGAACATTTTCTCAATTGCAAGAATTGAGCAAAGAATTCACATAACTTCTGTATAAACTTGTGCTTGCTTAGTTGACTGTCAGTCCTGAAATGACTTGTCTTGTTATTTTTATATCCAGGGAGATTCTTGGAAGTGAAGTTTCCAGAAAGACATCTAGCATCTCGTATGTTTTGTTCTCCTGTTTTTTTGTAGATGTTTTTATGACTGAATACTCACAGCTTTGCCACACAAAAGCTATTAAGCTAAAATCATGAATGTTTTCTGAGCTGCATATTTCATATTTTGGTTTAAAGTATGATTCCATTTGAGTGTGTTATTATGATCCCTGAAAGATATCATGTTCTCTTTTCAGCAGGTTTATTCTTTGTTGAGATCTAGATAGGCATTCAATAAGATCAATGAAAACTTCCTTTAGTTTCATTCTTAGATGCTTTTTCTGACCCAGCTGAAAGCATTTAGAGACTTTAGTGGCCTATTTTTTTCAGTTTATTGATGTGTCCATTCTACAGCCAAAATTAAACACAATCTTCCATATTCCATTCACATCAAGTACATCACTTTGCAATTTCCTGCACTGAAAAGTTCCTACATTATTTCCATCTAACGGATGTCAGAACAGACTTTCTGTGGTGCAGGTTCCTTGACCTGGAAATTTGCTTTCCCTGCTGATCCATGAAAGCTTATCTTCATTTGCCTGGCTGGACTTGTCATATATTGGTCTGTTGTTTTGTAAAGATGGTTGCATAAATGGAAAAAGTCATATCTATACCTGAGAGAATTCTGTGGTAACTTTCTGAGTTTACTTAGGAGCATAATTTCTTTTAAACAGATTTTTGGATAGTTAGAATTTATAGGAGATTCTGGTTTTTCCACATAAGAAAAATGGGAAGGAAAATACAAGGAAGCTTAAATATGTATGTAGTGATGCAGTCACTGAAACACACTAAGTCCTCATGTTGTATGCCGTCTTGCTTAGAACACCACCATTCAGTTCAGAGGAAGAAGCTGATGAAGATGACATTAAACAGCCTTACATATCACCAGAAATACTGCAAAAGCCGTCAAAAACATCAAGCAGCAAAGTCTGTGCTTTTCAGAAGGCTTCTGGCAAAAGTGATATGGATGGGACAGAGGAAGGCGAAAGTGAAGAAGCTGGAACACCTGCTAAAACTCCAAAAGGTTTTCCACTACTTTTGTATATGGGTGTTGTAACAGCTGTGCATGATTTAACATTTCATGATCATATTTCTGTGTTAGAAAACTTAATGAAGGCAGACTATCTAATCTTGGGTGTACATATATAAGTGTGCACTCTAATGTGTTTCTGTTCGTGGACTCAGTGATGTGTATGCACACATCTTCTATAGAAATGCAGAAAAAGACAATATCTGTCTCAGAGAGGTTTTTTTACGAATTTTTACTCTGTGGAGGATTTCTAGAGGGTTTACAGCGAAGTCCCTTCCTTGTGAATGGAAACTGTCAATATAATTTTTTCTGACCTTTAGGAACTGTTATTCAAAAACTGACCAAGCAAGTTGGAGAGAGTCTTTCTAATCCAGGAAATAAGAACAAACCAGCTGGAGGGGTTAATGTTGCACAGGCATTTATTAAGCAAGAAGTGAAGGAACTGAAGGTATCACTTTTACTATTCATTATTATTACATTAAGTAATAGAACCATATATGTTTATGTTACTTATTTTTTTTCCATGCTGAAATCATCTTGATACAGTGGAGAAACTTAATTCTCAAAGACAATTGTGGGAGTTACACTTAAGTAGACTTCTTGGGTACATCTGCACTGGTATATAGAAAAGGGCTAGCAAGTGACCTCTTCATCCACTGTGCTGGTTTCGTTTATTCCATGACTGGTTTGGCTCACTAGAGCTAGCCCAAAGTTTGGGCACAATTGGTATCCTTCTTATCTTCTGGTCTAGCGCCATAGAGAGCCCTTCTTTACTTGCTTCTTGAGTGTCTTGTTTTGTGGGAGGAAAAACAAATTTGCTTATTTGATACTTCAAATAACTTTTATTTCTAGAAGTTTATCTAATATAGAAGTTTTAAATGCATTTTAATGAAGGGACAACTTCCATTGGTCTTTATTCTGCATGTCTACAGTCATGTATTTTTCAGACTACATCAAATATATCACATCCATTAAGTGTGAGTTCACAATCAGAATTCTAACACAATGTATTCTTTGCCCCTCAGGCTCCTGAGGTCCCAGTCTTCCCCTCAGTTTAGAGTTTTGTAATTGGTCAACCACTTTCATGCAAGTGGGTATTTGCCTGAACAGTTTTTAAAAGGAACAAAAGAATTTTATGTCAGTTTTAGTAGCTGTCATTCGGTTGAAGTAAACAGGCAGACACTAGTTCTAGCATTCAGTAAAATATTTTTTTGCAAAATAAGCAAAAACTACTTACTGAGAATCCTGTTATCCATAATAAAACTGATGCCTTAGGGCTTCCTGGCTGCCAGGTAAATCTGAAATTTATCACTCCTCCCAGAAACAGTGACACTTCCATTTCAGTTTCCAGAAAGTGGTGATTGTCTTAATCAGCTTTGGCTGTGATGGCAGGGTAATCACATTGAGCCTGTGTCATCTGAATTGCCATTGGTGACACCTAAGCTGTCCACTGACTGTGTGGGAGCTGCAAATCATGCCAGACTCAAGATTATCAACTCAGACATGACTATTACAGTGTAGTTTTCTGTCCAAATTTTACTTTTACATTCTTTGTAATATCAGATGATACAAGACTGTAAGATGTTCACAGTCAAGTTGACTGGATGTGACATTTTGTAAAGATCTATACTGTGGGCCATTGTGTTAAGGAATTTGGGCTTCAAGAACAAAGATCTGTAGCAAAATAAGCCTCAAAATCTATGTTTTAAAGATATCATAGTTTTCACAGGTAACCTCTTTTCGCACATCTCTCAAGCCCCTGAACCACAAGGCAGGGACTGCGGTAATGAAGTCCCTCCCATTGTGGGAGAGGATCAGTATTGAGACCACCAGAGGAGCCTGAACTTCTATAAATCCATAGACCCTGATGAGATGCTGCCCAAGGTCCTGAGGGAATGGACTGATGTAGTTGCCATGCTACTCTCCATCATAATTGAAAAGTCATGGCACTTGGGTAAAGTCCCTGAATGAAAAAGGGAAAATATCAAACCTGTTTTTAAAAAGAGTAAAAAGAAGGACCCAGGGGACTATTGACCAGTCAGCCTCACTTCTGTGCTCAGTGAGATCATGGAACACATCCTCCTGGACAGAAAATTACACTGTAATAAAAAAAGAGCAGGTTTAGGTTAGATACTAGGAAGATATACTTTACTGAGAGGGTGGTAGGACACTGGAACAGGTTGCCCAGAGAAGCTATGGCTGCCCCATCCCGGGAAGTGTTCAAGGCTAGGTTGGTTGGGGCTTTGATCACCTGGTCTAGTGGAAGGTGTCCCTGCCCATAGTGGGGGAGTTTGTCTTGCTGGTCTTTGAGGTCCCTTTCATTCCATGATTTTATGAAAAATATTTTTCCTATAAATCATTTATAATGCATTGTGTCCCTGATGGATTAGCACAGTGGTGTGTTCCTGTATGGACATGATGTGTTCAGAGGGAGTTTATGAACCCAGGGCAGGCATTGCTACGTGTTTCTGGAATCTTTACAGAAGAACACACCATCTTGTATTCTTTGGTAGTTATATATGAATGTGCATATGTTCATGTCCATATTTATGTGTTTAAATGTAGATGTATAGTTCAATTTAATTCTTTAAATTTCAAGTGGGATTTTCAAAGGTGCCCGAAGGCATAAGCCAAAACACCACTGGAGTGTGATGGACTCTCTGAAAATCCAAATGCTTTTTAGCATCAACACGAACAGCATAAATGCTTATAGCTGCTAATGGTCATTCTCAGAGCCCACAACACAATGAAACCTTTGTAAGGCATCCCATTGTCACATGCTTTAGAAAGGTCATGTTTCACAGGAGTTACTTCAGAAACGTTTTGCAGAAGATTAATTTTGTGCTTACCTGAAGCTGTGTAACCTGAGTTCACCTGTGCCAGACATCATGTGTGTTATGGTGTTCTGTGGAGTAAGTCTTCAAATCCATAACACTGTTTAGCATTTTTGATTGGTGCTGTGTATTTGCACTCAATCAAAACTGCAGTCTGTTCAAAGTTGACATTTTTCTCTGTATTTTGTACTTTCAACAATCATTTGGGACTTTGAGAATGTTTGAGGAAACTCTTCCTCCAGCACTTCTCTGCATATGTGACCCTGACTTTCCCATTACCACACCCTCCAAATGCAGCTGATCTCAAAGAGCACAGTGTTGAATCCTGGTATGTTAATAACACAGCACACTGAGCAGATCTGTCAGCTTTTGAAAAACTGTTTGCAGTGTTAAGATGGAATTGTGGTGCAAGGTAGAACATTAGTGCAGTCTCTTCCTTCTTTTGAGACACAGAACATGTTCATATTTGTTGATTTTTCTCTAGCATGTACACACCTTACATTGTTTCCTAATAGCATCTGAACCTTCCTTCTGTGCAATAGAAGTGCCTTCTAGATCCTTACTCTAATATTGTGAGACTCTGCTGAAATAAGGTTTTAGCTTTGTGAGAAATCATCTTTTGCTTTCCACAGTTGAGCTCTCTTATAATGGCTCAATTCCATTGAACCACATCTGATTGACAAATAGGGAAATGCCATGGCTTTTCTTTCAAAAGCTGAGCAAGATACTTAGTTCTCAGGCAGATGAGGTAAGAAAGACCATGGACTTTCTGCCTTCAGGTTCCTCTGTTTGACTCGAGTCTCATTTTGTGAACTTATTATGCAAATCCACCACTTAATTAAAATATGCTTGTACATGCTGACAGGGAGTCTGGAGAGGAATACAGATGTTAAGGTGGAGCACCCTGTGCGTTTTTTGATTTTCATTATTAATTTTCTCTTTAAATAACTTAGTTTTAAATTGAAAAAGTCTTTATTGCAGTATTTTTTCTAGTGTGACTACAGAATGCTTATATAGTGAACTAAACCTCCAGCTGGCATGGTAACATTTCATATATTTATTTTCATGTAAGTAATGCACATTCTAATGCTTAAAGGACTTCCATCTCAATGGAATAGCTCATATCTCAGAAGAGATAATCCTTTCTTTAAGCTGGACATGTAATACCTGAAAACAGGTTTCTGTCAGTTATAGAACAGGAAGAACTTTTAACTTTAAAAAACCAAACCACTTTTATCTTCAGAACTACAACTGTGAATTAATATCATTTAGGTAATTGAAATAATGTGGATTTTAAAACTGTGGTGATAGATGTCATAAAGGTCATGTGCCAGTGCATGTTTCTTTAGCAGTTTCACATTGTGGAGTTTATGGACGATCTCAGCACAACTTGAACAGATACAGGAAAAATGCATATTTTTTATTTTCCCTGTCAGTTAGCAGAAGTTGATGATGAAGATGATTGGGATATATCATCAGTAGGGGAAGACATTTTAATGATGAAAGATGATAGAGGTCAGAAGGCACCAGCAGTTCAGAAAAAGGAGTCCAATGCTGCATCTGTGGTACAGGCGTGGGGGCTTTCGAAGAAAACTGCATCAAAGGAGGAAGGTAACATATCCAGCCTTCTGCTTGCTAAGCCTTGAGTGATGACTGACACACCTAGAGGAGAATTTAAGTACACTTGTTGTTTAAGTACACATTGTAATTCAGTAGATGGTGTTTTGTAAGAAAAGAACAAGTAGGAAATACTATGTGCTTGGTTTTATACCCTGTAAATATATTATATTTTTAGGATACTTAATCATACATAAACAGCACACACATACAAATATACAGAGATGCCAAGAAACTTAAATTTGAGATTTAAAAACATAGTATTACCAGACTCCAACCTCATCTTAAAAATTAATCATCCAGGGAAACTTTCTTACTTTGTCTTGAGAATAATAACAACCTTTCAGGTTTGCTCAAGATATCTAAGTGACCTACCAGGGTGAGATAAATATTTAAACTACTGCTAAAGCAAAGGTCTCAGTCTTACATAGAACTCACACAGTAGTTGCTAGCCCTAGCATTTCAGTGTATGGAAAGGTTAAAGCTGTGTCAGTTACATAAAGATACTTCTGGTTATTACTGCAGGGAAAGTCATGTTGACACTGACTGCTTGCACTGTGCATTGTATTGTGTGACAAAAACAGTCTTCATATTATCCACACCTGGCGTTTCCTCACTGGTTGAAATTTGGGACTTCCTGAAGTCCACAGGTGTTTGTTCACATAGCATGTCATTTTATCTCATAGATAAATACAAAGTGAAAACACCCCCAGAAGAGTATTGATAAATTTTTTTGTCTGTTTGTTTTAACAGGCTTTCACGAAGCTGATACTACAAGCACGTTAAAAAGCAGCTTAGTCTCTGTAACAGACTGGAGTGATTCTTCAGATATATAATTGTCCCGTTCCTGACGGGAGGCACTGATTTTGGGATCTGCTGGGGCTGAAAATGAAGTTGAGAACATCAGGTGCTTCCTATTAATTCCTCTCATTGATCGTGTAATAACAAGGAATACTGTTTACAGAGCTCTTGTGTCTTTCAGTCTGAATTTGAAACAAGAATATTGAAGTACACATTACTGGCCATGTCTGTTTGGAAACTGAGAACAACTCTTCTTTCTCCTTGTCGTGGTTTAACCCCAGGCAGCAATCAAGCACCACACAGCTGCTGGCTCACTGCCCCCACAGTGGGATGGGGAGAGAGTCAAAAGAGTAAAAGCTAGAAAACTCATGGGTTGAAATAAAGACAGTTTAATAGAGAAAACAAAAGCCGCACACACAAGCAAAGCAAAACAAGGAATTAATTCGCTGCTTCACGCAGACAGGAGGTGGTCAGCCATCTCCAGGAGAGTAGGGCCCATCACAGGGTTATTTGGGAAGACAGATGCCATCACTCCAGATGTTCCCCCTTCCTCCTTCTTCCTCCCCCCTTTTATACTGAGCATGATGTTATGTGGTATGGAATATCCTTTTAGTCAGTTGGGTTATTTGGGAAGACAGATGCCATCACTCCAGATGTTCCCCCTTCCTCCTTCTTCCTCCCCCCTTTTATACTGAGCATGATGTTATGTGGTATGGAATATCCTTTTAGTCAGTTTGGGTCACCTGTCCTGACTGTCTCCTCTCAACCTCCCATGCACCCCCAGCCCTTGCCAATGTGGCAGTATGAGAAATGGAAAAGGCCTTAATGCTGTGTGAGCTCTGCTCAGCAATAACAACACCGTATCTGCCTTACCAGCACTGTGTAAAGCACAAACCCAAGACACAGACCAATACTAGCCACAGTGAAGAACATTTCCTCTACCCCAGCCGAAACCTGCACTCATGAATTCAATGGTGGAAGTCTTTTAATTTCACTGAGGTGAAGATGTTACCTCTAATGTTTACATTAAAGAATGAAATTGGTCTTGCAGGAAACCTGTTAAACAATGAACAGAACTTACTGCAGAGTATTACTTTATAAAAATTTTTAATTCATATTTTCTTGTATTCTATCATAAAGTTTATATAAAATTTTGAACATTGTAAAGAAAATATGTCCATGTATTTAACTGTTAAGTTTCTACCATGGTTTACAATAAACACCAAATTGAAAGAAAAAAGCCATAAAACTAGTTATTATTAAATGCCTCCCATTTGGGGAATTGGTTTTGTTTAGGGAGTGGGGTTTTTTTGTATTGGAGTTGAGTCTTTGTTAATATAAAAAGCACAGAAATTGGCAAAAGCATTAAAACACCAAGCCAATGTGAGGAGAGCACTGACCTGCCCTTGCTGTTCCTGGTTTGTCCATATTGGCTACCTTCTTAAAAACACAATAGGGTTTTGCTTAAATGAAGTACAAAAATAAGTAAAATAAAAAGAACCTTGAATGACTTTGTGGTTCTGATGTAATTTAGATAGTATCAGATAGAAAAGTTCTTCTATCATACTGTGCTGTTATTAAATAGGACTATTCATTTTTTATATTTACACCATTGTCCCAAAATAACCAATTTTCATGGAAACACCAAAGGTCCATCAGTTCAGGCCTCAAGACAAACCTGAGTTTGTGTCTGATTTTAGGGACTCGGTATAGAAAGCATTTTGTCTCCGATCTCATTTATTGACTTGTACAAATATTCTCTCAAAAGTCATCACATTTCTGTGGACAGGCAAAAAAGTGCTAGCTGAATTTTTGAATGGCTGTAGCTCAGTTTGGATTATCTAAAATGGTGCTGTTCAGCATTGCTTGCTTTTATTTGGTCACCCCCTCAGCAGACGAGCTGGTATTGCCTGGGGTTTTTCCTTCCCTTCTGGCTTGAGCCGTTCTGGAGCTGAAGGTGTCCCAGCACCCTGTGCAGCAGGAAGGAAGGAAAACAGCCCCCAGAAGTGCCTCGTGGCCAGCAGGGGTGAGTGCTGCAGCAGGGCAGGAGTCCAGTGGCACAGAACAAACACAGAATGTAGGAGCCATCTCTGAGCCTTGCTGTGCCCCGTGGGCTGCAGCCTCTGCTCTCCCTGCCAAAGCTGATGGTCGTGTGTGGTCATCTCATCTCCCTGTGCATGTTCTGCACAGGCCCTGCAGGACACACTCTTGTGATGGGTTTGTAGCAACTGGCCCTGGCTACTGTTAGTGCCTGCACCTGCTTCCCCAAATCCCATATTTATTTTCACCTAGTCTCTTCCTGTTCCTGTGGCACCAAATTGATTAAGTTGCATGTTCTTCCACCCTGTGGAAAGGAGACAAGAGCCTGCTGATTCCCACTGACTGTACTGTCAGGTGCTGCAGTTACCATGGGCTTTGCAATTCCAATGTCACACTAAGCAGTGGTGAAATATTCTGCATATTAACCTGCACTGAACCCATGTCAGAAACTGATGCACTGTGCAGCCTCTGTGCTGTGCTTGACACCATTCCCAAAAGCAACTGACAAACTGAATTAGCAAATACCTCATTTATTTTTTTTTCAAGAACGCAACATCAGCTCATGATTTCCAGGTATAAACTTTACAATACCAACATCAATCTTAAAATATTATATAATAAAATTTACATCAATATGTAAAAAGCTGCAAGTTAATATTTGTAAAAGTCATTGTCTTAGTGGTAAGTACATTGGGTCGGGGTGGGGGAATCACTCTGAATGAAACATACAAACTCATTCTTGAAACGCTTTGAGTCGTCCAACAGTGCAACTAAACGTAAGCGTTCTTGTCAAAGTGCTTTGGGGGGGATTTGTCTGGGACACTGTTGTGGACCTTCGTACGAGAAGACATCACAGATGTGGCTCCATTATATGCATACCCCCTCCTGGAAAGAAAAAAGAACCATTCACAGCTCATCCCACACACAGGTAGCATCTCTGTGTCCAGGCATAACACAAAGTGAGAAGATGTGTATAGGAATGTAGCTACAAATTTCAGGGGGCAGAGGGAGTACGTTCTTTCTCTGTATGGTCCCATTCTAGTTTGACATTCACTTTTCTATCCCGTGTTCACAGTTAAGTAAATTGGGGCCCAATCATTAGGCTGTGGCAGATTCTAGGTGAATAGTTAATCCTTCCAGCTGTGCCTATTCACTATCACCCCTCTTCTGCTGCTGGAGGTCCCACTGCCACCACCACTGTCCTTCATCTCTATCACTTTTGATCTGATGCTTTGGGATTAAAGACACTTGTCTATTCACACCTGTCAAGCAACGTTACCACTTTTCCTACATCAGTGAACGCATTGTTTCCTAGCAGTAATAAAGTAAAGAAGTATATATGACACAAGTATTTGTTCTGAGTCAACAGCTTTTCTAAATTACATCAGTGATGGACAGATCATTATCCTTGGATCCCCTTATTTTGTTTTATCCACACAATCTTTTTCTGAATCTCACTACGAAGTGTTTTGGAACAGTAATCAAACTGCATTACATATCATGGCTACAAACACACAGGTATTGATTTCTTTCAATAAGCACAACTTGTGTTTTACCTTGGAGAATTACTGTTTTCAGTTATTGAGAAGCAGAATATACTGCCACCAATTATGCAGAGTGAAGCTCCAGCCCATCCAATGAACAAAGCTGCTCCTAATTCATACCTACAGGAAGTCAATAAATGTGTTTAACAAAAGAGAACATGGATTTAACATTTTTTTCAGACTAAAATAACTAAATACTGTATTTTCCTGGATGATTTTCTATTGACACATATATTATTCATCACATAATCAGCAGCTGTACCATTCACACATGTTCTTTTCATTATTTCCCTCTGGTTCTGGAGGCAAACTCTGTTCCTGTCTTACCTGTCTGTGCAGCCAGCTGGGGTGCCTGGCCTCTCCACATCTCCCCCTGGATTGCTTGGCTGTGAGGTTACACCATTCTCTGACCTGATTACAGTGCACAGCTCCTGTCCTCTTGGTCCATTTCAAGTTTGTTCCTGTTGGCTCCCAAACTGGGCTGGGGCTTCTGCTGAGCCAGTGACTAGAGCTTCTGCCTAGAACTCTCCTTAACTGTCCCCTCTGGCTCTCAGGACTTATCTCCCTCTGTTCCTACCCACATACAAACCTGCTAAAACGTAAGGGGTTTGTGCATACATATAACATGTGTGTGCAATACACAGACATACCAGCAATATATGCATATACATACACAGACGTGTCTGATATATGCATATGTGGCTATGTAAATACCTGCATGCAAATACAGATGTACATGTGTGTACATATGCAACTGTGCATGTCCAGAAACTTTCTGCTTCCCTAGTCCCTGTGGCTGGATTGCAGCTGGAAGACACTGCTTGCCCCCCAAACCCATGGGCAGAGCTCCAGGTCACCAGCAATGGTCCTCTCTGCTGCCAGAAACTGCTCAGTTTGGCTCCAAGAGGAGACAGTGGTGCTTTAGGAGCTTTGTCCCACAAAGGTAAGTAAACGTTTCCAAAGCAGCAGTAGTAAATGAAGGAAAAGAAGGGCATGGGGATGAGATTCTTTTCTTTCCCCTCAGCTCTGGAGCTTCAAGATGACTACCAATTCATGGCTGCCATTTGTCTGCTCCAGTCCCCAGCTCTTTGCCTGAGGTACCACTCTTTAAAACACTCTCAGAATGACCTGCATTAGACCACAGGCCCAACAGTCTCCAGAGTCTCCTATTCCTCACTGTTAGGACAGATTGTGTGTCTCTTGCTCCTCTGCTCCAGTTCCCCCTTGAGGAGACCTTTATCTCCTTCTGACTTCTGGGATCCCGCACTGAAAACACAGGCCCTTGTGCCCGATCCAGCCAGGGTTATCAGCCAGGTGTCTGTGCTGATCAGGGCTTTGTTACTAAATTATTTTATTTATTGTAATCTGTGATGAGGCAGACAAATGAAAGCCTCAGCTTGGCAGCTTGTCTGTACAACTGAGAGACTGTGCAGTTGCACTTTTTGGCTACCTCTGAACATTTCCATGTGAACAGACCCTAATTTCACATTACTGAAATATCTAACCAAAAATACCTGTCAGCTGTTCTGCAAAACTTGTGTATTTACAAAGGCAGCACAGCAGAAACACTCAGGAATTGCCTGTGAGCTCAGACACACAGAACAATTATATAATGACTCCTATAATCGGTCACAAGGGGGTGAACACTGGCTGAGGAACAAAAAAATCACTCTTCCACATTTTCTTGAGAGTCTAACCAGAGGTAAAACACAGGCTTTAAAAAAAAAAAAAAAGTTCCACAGAGATAAAAAGCCACACTTGGGACACCTGTGCTAGATGCTCTGGGCACCCAGGCTCAAGTCACACAGGGGCTGATTGCCACAAAGCAATGGAGACACTGGAGCTCAGAAGTAGAACACTCTGAGAGCTTCCACCCAACTCTCCATGGCCCCACTAGTGCTCTAGCTTCTAGGCTCCTCCTTTCTTTTTCTGTTCACATCATCAAAGTAGAGATTTTATTTATCATCCTTTGCTAAAAATGGATCAGATTCCCCCAAACATTCTCCATACCCAGCTGTTGGGGATTTGATTAAGTTTACTTCTAGAATATTAAGAAGTTAATTGTGTAGGTTTAAGTTTAATCATAATTTGGTTACACCTTAGCATAGGCAAACTTCAAGTGAACTCTATTTGTTAGCAGGAAAGGCCAAGCAGGGGAGTAAACAGAGAAAGGCTGATTATCTTCAGATAAGGGTTAAGACCCTAGAGGGCCCCAGGGCTGACCAAAGCTGGAAGATAAGAACAATTAATGTCCTGCCCACGTGGACATGGAGAAAGAATCCAATGAGGTATTAGAAGACACCACACCATAAATCACCACTGGACCAAGAGGTGCATGCAGGACACACGAAGAGCATATGAGATCACGTGCACAGACTGTGAGGGTATAGAGACTCAGGGATTTATTTGTTCCAGGTCCTCTGGAGGTACCCAGCTTGAGCTGAAATAAACCACCTCTGCTTCAGAACTCAGGGTCCAAACCCATCCTTAATACCAGCATGGGGCTTAGGCATCCAACCTCCAAATTAAACTCCTGGAAACCATAGCTCAGCTGCCTTTCACCCTTGCAAACTGTACTCAGTCCCATTTGACTTCAAAATCTGCCTAACCTGTAAAGCTTTATTTCTAGCTATGTTCACGTTTCCAACCATGCACTACAGTTTTCACAAGACTTGAGATTTCTTTCTGCCTGTTCAAACACTGTGGGGTTCTCTGGTCAGAAGCAGAGATCTACATCAGAGCTCATCACCTACGATCCCATAACAGTCAATGTGCAAGAGATACACACAAAGTATACACCTAAAACACCTTCAAGGCACCTCTTCTATTGAGCTCTACAGGCAGATCAGAGTGACTCACTCTGATGTGAGGTAAGCCCCATCTTGGGAATCCTTCCATCCCTGCACATACTGCCAGAGCACACCTAAAGCATGTGGATCAGGGTTGGACTCCCCACAGAAGTTGGTGCAGAACACCATGGTGCTGGACTACACAGCTAGACCAAGACCCAGGAAGGCTGTTGTAGTAACAACTTACTGGCCAAGACCATTCGCCTAGAAAGTGGGAAACACAAGTTCATCTCCACATTTTTGTCTAGCAACACTAAACAGTTAGCCAGAGGCTGATGTGAAGGAGTAAAGGAGACAGGTCATCACCTCCCCTCCTGAAGCTCTTCAGCTGTACAGAAAATAAATCAAGATTATATTTGGTTTAATCATGTGGAAAGGGGTTACCTGACTGTTGCCTACTAGTTGGGAAAGAAGACATGAGGTCTGGCCTTTGTTCTTGGGATTGTTTATATTTTTTAAGCAACATTTGTTACTATCACATGTATAACCAGATTGTGTATATGGTCCCTTCTCGGGTGACTGGCACACCACTAGGGCAATGAGTTGCAGAGGTGAACTAATCAGTCTTTCCTCCACATCTTTAAACAGATAAAACAACATTTCTAATTTATACTGGTGCTTAGGAGGAAAACTTCAAATTTGCATTTGCATATCAGCATCAGCATGGCTCCCTGGATTTTATCCAGTCTGTCTTTTAGCCCCTGTTCAAACCGACAATGTCACAAGTGCAGTCCCACGAGGATCAATATTGGGCCCAACACTGTTTAATATCTTTATAAGTGATCTGGACAATGGGATCAAGTGTACCCGGATGGAGTTTGCCAATGATACCAAACTGAGTGGGGAAGTGGATGCTTCAGAACTGAGACCCAACCCTGCAGGAAGACATGCATAGGCTGGAAGAGTGGGTGAACAAGAATCTTATGAAGTTCAATAAGGACAAGAGTAAGGTCTTGTACCTGGGAAAACATAATCCAGGAGAGCAGCACAGGCTGGGATCTGCATAGCTGGGAAGCAGCTCTGTGGAGAGGGACCTGGAGGTCCTGGTGGACAACCAGCTCAATATGAGAGAACAGTGCTGGTGCTCCAGCAAAGAAAGCCAACAGGATGCTGGGGAGTATCAACAAGGGCATCATCACCAGAGATCAAGAAGTCGTTGTCCCACTCTACTCAGTGCTTGTCAAGCCATACCTGGAATACTGTGCTGTTTTGGTCCCTGCTATGCAAAAAGGATGTGGACAAGCTGGAGAGGGTCCAGAGAGGGGCCTCAAAGATAATCAGCGGACTGGGGAGCCTGTCACATGGGGAAAGAACTGAGTTTATTCAGCCTTGAGAAAGGAATGCTTAGGAGAGACCTTATCACCATGTTTCAGTATTTAAACAGCGGCGACAAAGAAGATGGAAACTCCCTTTTTACAAGTAGTCACATAGAAAAGATGTGGGATAATGTGTACAGCTTACTCCAGGGGATTTCAATTGGACACATGAGGACAATTTTTCACAGAATAATCATAATAATAATCTCCTTAGGGAAGTGGTGGATTCCCCAGTGCTGAGCATTTTTAAGATTTGCCTGTACTGGGCCACCTTGTTTAGACCATGCTGTTACCAAGAAAGACTGGACCAGATGCTCCTTGAGGTCTTGTATAACCTGATATTCTATGATCCTAGGATCTTTTCAGCATTTAAGAAGCCAACCCTAACCTCCCATCAAAATTCAGTATGTAAAAAAACTTTACCATATGAAAAAACCCTTACAAACATTGGTGCCTCCAGAAAAAAGGAGATAGGCTTTTTTAGAAGAAAATTCTGCACTTGCTGTTTTCCCCTTCCCACTTTAACAATAAAATCTTTGCAGCAAACACACTATTCTTAAATTTCTGGGTTGCAAGAACCAAAGCAGTCACTCTCCAAAGTCCATGGCTGTGTATCCACTGTCTCCAATCAGAGAAATCAATCTGATCAGAGATCACTGGCAGTTCAGGGGGGGACAGGAAATTGATGAAGAAGTTTAGAGGTGTTGACCACTAAGGACCACAAGCATCCAACTGCAGAGAACTGAAAGCCACCTTCAACTACACTGACCAAGCTGGCTCAAAGCAGATTTTTTTTCTGTAATCCAGGGAGGTAGAATGCAGTGAAAGAATGAAAGTACAATACCAGTGCAGAAGAAAATTATTCCAGTTGTTACATACATTAGGACCACAAAGTAAACTTCCAAGCAAACCAGTGGAAACTTCATCAGCTGACTGGAAATTGGTGTACATAAAGGGCATACCTACCTCTCTACCTACAGAATCAGTACAACTACCCAAGAGAAATACACATTTTGAATGACTAATTCTTATGATTCTTGCAAAAAGAAAAATAGATTAAAATCTATCAAAAGAGGGAATGTGTGAACAGTGCACAGTCCATTCAGAGACATGAAAGCTGAAGGGAAACAATTTTCTATAAAAGAAAATGGGACTTTAAGCGGATAATTTGGATAAACAACCCTATTCATCAGTACAAATAATCACAATTATGGAGTTCAGACTGTGGCAAGAGACTAAAAGGATAAGGAATATAAGCATTGGGGTTTTTCTAATTAAAAATAGTAGTGACAAAATAGTTTTCTAAGAGAAGCTGTGGGAGCAACTCCAGCAAAACAGAAGCACAGATTTTCCCCTATTAAAGGTATCTGAATAAGAATGAAATACATCTTAGCTGCAAGCACGAACACATCCCACACTGTCCCCAAGACTCTGGACATGTTAGGTAAGGTCAAGCAATTCCTTTGGAGCTGGTTTAAATAGGTAATGAAAACTATTGCATTGGGACATAAAGTCCAGCCTAAGATTTCTCTCTAAGTAAGGAGGTTTTAGTGTGGCCCCATGGTGCCTGTGGTACCTTAGTTAGGTACATAATTCAAAACAGGAATCTCCTGGGAAACAGCCTTAGGCAGGTCTCTGATTCCTCCTGCATCCATACAGAGCCAGGGTGTCTCTTCCAAATGCAGAAGGCTGGAGGGAAATCCAGATGGCTGACATGATGCTAAACATCTTGTGTCATTTGTTTCCCCCAACAGTCTCTCACGCCTGTCTTTGACACTGCCAGAATAACTTGAGGAGAGAAATGCACAGTAAAAGGCAAAAGACCGAAACCTTCTCTCAGAAAAGAGCCAATGCCAGATTTCCAAGATATACCAGCAAAGCATATTAAATGCTTCTGCAATGCATATCAAAGTAAGAGTTTAGAGACAGCAGCAAAATGCACGACTCCAACACATTTTACATTGGTTGATAGAGAAAGGAGCCAAATGCTAGTTGAATCTGACGCACAGTCAGTGCGTGAGCTGCACACACCGTGCGCAAGTCAAATTACAACTCTGGCTTTCCTCTCTGCCCTTATCTGTGCCGTGGTGATTGTGTGTGCCCACAGCTGAGCTGTGCTGGCTGCTTGGGAAAAAGGTAATTTCTGCAGAGACTGGTTTACTACATTTCAATATTGAAACTGGATTTCTCATTCCTTCACAGTAAAACTCTGCTGTGAGGTCTCCCTGCTCTTTTGCAGCAGATGAGCATAGGAAAACAGTGCAGGAAAGCAACTTCTGGCAACAGCCATGGTATTTTTCACTAGGAACAGTAAGCCTGATGAATAATTAACTTCTGTCTATACAGCCAGGGCCCATTTCCTTCACAGAACCTCACATCCTTTTTTCTTTTGGAGGCCTTTCAATCCTGTCTTCATTACATCAAGTAAGCATAAACTATAGTGGAATTACAGAAAAAACTAATATGAACTTGTTTGCAAGAGAGGAGAAGCAGTGTCAGCCCTGCTGCAAATTTGGATCCACTTAGTCTTATTTATTGAGATTATTTTCTTTCTATTGAAGAAACATAAAGGCTCAGTGTTCCTTACTTGGGTCTCAGGGAAATGTATACCCAATGTTTGACATATCCTGGGATCACCACCAAGAAAACTTTGAAATCCCTGCCTTTAAAGAAAAGTTTCCATAATGTATGAAGACAAAACAGGAAAGCCTAGGATGCTATAATTTACAGCCAACATTTTCAGGCTTCGTAGTTAAGATGTCAATCTAAAATCCTGGCACTGGTTTCTGAATAACTGCCTTTGCAGGTCCTGAGAACTTGCACAGCTTTAAAGGGAGGTGTTTAGGGGTGATCATTTTTTCTGGTATGGATCCTGCAATTCTATAAACACTCACTCCCTTAAATATAATTACAAGCATAGACAAACCATTTGTGTTAGTGCTTATGAGATTGTGGGTTATGATAAGGTTTATGATCCAAATTCCAGTCATGTGGATTTGAAAAATCTGTCAGCATAAAGGTACACAGAGCCTGCAGAAACCTCTCTGCAAAAGGAATCAAGATTGCGCAGTGCTCGACACCTTTATGGAAACCACCTTCTATCAAAAGCTCAAGGAAATAATTTTCTTCCTTCCCTATCGAATGAAGCACCTAATGAGTGCCTCTGTCTTGTGCAATCCTTTTGCTGCATCTCTGGCATAAAGGCAGACTTCACTCCTGATTAACCCCATCTGCAGCAACCTGTCAGGCCACAGTGAGACTGAGCACACAGATTACAGAGCAATCACCATACAGGAAAGTGTTTGTTCATTACATTTCAGCACACGGTTACTCCAGTTAGGAAACATGGTTAAATAAAACTGCAGCCCACTCTCCTCCTCTGCCCAAGAGGAGAAGCACCTGCTCTCTATCTAAATGGGCTTTGGTGCACAGTAAGAAACTTAAGGTCTACTTGTTTGAAAGATTTATGGGTATAGGAAAGTACTTACTTTTGTGCAACAAAAGAAGGATCAAAGAACTCAGACGTAATCCTGTTTGCATACAGGGAACAACTAGTCATAGAGCACAACCCTGAAAAGCATAAGACAAACTATTCAGTGGAGCCAGCAGAAGAGCTTTGGGCCTGACCCTGAAGTTAACGTAGTCACAGAGAATTGTGTGTGGGTTTCTGTGGTAAAGAAGCAGCTCTGGTATGACTTCAAATATGGAAGCTGAGAGAAATAAAGTATATTTACCAGAGAGTATGAAAATCAGTCCAGCTAAACAAGCTATTTTTGCTTTAGTCTGATCGGAGCCTCCGACTTTTGTACACTTCATCCCAACCAGTCCAAAAACAGCACCGAAGAAGCCCAGGCAGACAGCAGAGATCATCAGTCCTCTGCAGGCTTGGATGTAACCTGCAGGGAGAAAGAGTAAAGGCTGGTGTGAGAACTGAGAGCATGATGGGTTTCACTTACAGTTTCCCTCTGTGCAGCACCAGGCATTTACTATTGTAGATGGAATCAGACCTTGGCTGGAGTAATATTACCTCATCCTTGAGTGTATTTCCTTCACAGGGCATCATCACCTCAACACAGGCCATAAGATTTGAATCTGCCAAGAAGGGCCTCATTCTGCAAGTCAAACACAGCTCCATGGACACTAGTAGTCCATTAGGATAAAGCATATCACTGCCATATTTAAACCTGGACAAATGGCTTGCAGTTGGCTCCAGCCACAAACAATTGTGCCATGCTGCCTGAGGCTGCTCTGAGCAGGACCTTCTGGAGCAGGACAATGTGTTGCTTGGCCTCTTCTCCCTGCTGAGAATATCTTGTAATTGAAAGGCTGTGATAATCTCATATCACTGCTTACAGGGTGGAACGCTGCAATCTTACACACCTGAATAACCATCACAAGATGTTTTTCTTCATAACCTGTTGTTACATCTCATTTAAAATGAAAATGAACTCCCACTATTAGGGTATTCATTCTTTTTGCTTTGATCTCCAGTGGGTGGAAATGTTGAGAGCTAAACCACACTGTCATTGCCTATTATACCAAATTTTATGTAATCGCAAATAAACAAACAAAAAACCACCCTCAACCCCTGCATAAAAGTCTTTCATATGTAGAAAAATAATATATTAAAACAGGAACTAGAGTACATCTAATGAAAACAGAAGGCAGCAGATTCAAAACAGAAGTGCACTTGTTCGTATAATGAAGCTCTGGAACTCCTTTCTACAGGATATGTGCATGCTAAAGGTTTATGGAGATTCTAAAAGAGACTAGATACATTAATTAAAGAGAAATCTGTGCCTGGCTGGCAGGTCCTTGAGAGATGCAGATGGCTACCAAAGACACTTGGCTGCTTTCTGCTCTCCTTACTGCTGCCCACTTTAGCCTCTGCTGGAAGTATGTCAGCTCTAGGATGACCATTCTGTGCTCCAACAACGTTTGAAAACCCGCATTGATTCACAGCTCTGTGCAACAAAGCAATTTGTAGCATATAACACTCCGTTTTATCAGGCCTACCAAACTCAGGAGCTGTGCTGCCCATCTGTGAACACAACCTATTGGCATCTATCTACACCTGCTGGCACGCAGACAGACTTCTTTCACCTGCAACATGCTTCTGCAGCCCATCTGCTAAAGAAATACAACAGTCAATGAAATAAGTGTGACTGTCATACGACTCACATGTTGGAATGTAAGGGAGTCATTTGTGCAAGACACAAGTCTGAAGGAAGCAGCCTTGCTTTGTTAATTTTTGCTACAGGCATGGAAAAGTTGGCTTTTAGTACTTCAGGTGGTGTGTAATGTATTTCTTGTAGCAGACAGGTAAAGCATGAGATGAAGACTGGCAAGGAAGCTATTATTTTTGACAGGTTCAATTTATCGACACTGTTAGTAGCTAATTGACACATTAAAGTGCTGAACCATGAACATATTTACCCGGAGGTCCTCTAAACTTTTATTTATGTCTGAACCTCTTAGGAAAACCAGTAAATATTCACCCCAACCAAAATATTCAGCATTTGCTAGTAACCACAGGGCTGAAATTCAGTTTTTCCTGAAGGTCAGTACACAGTTTTAGAATAGGTAGAGGGTAGTGAGACAGCAAGAAATAATTAACTCACTCACTCAGAAATCATTTTCAATTATAAACAGCATGAGCTGGAGGACTGCTCAGTTCTGCTGAATGAATAACCCTCCTCACTAAATAATTCACCAAATTGGGCAAGCCAGCCACAGCAGGGCTTGTTTTGGTTTATCACAGCAGTTGGCCAACTGGCACACATTTTTGAAACAAAATATATGAAAAAAGATCACAATCTACACCAGTAATGTGGAAGAGCAGAAGGCTATGTTAGTCCCACTAGGCTGACTGGAGTGTTAGGAAGCCTGAATGGCTGAAATCAACATTTTCACCAAATCCAGACTGCTATTGCTTGGATCCTCAGTTCAAACTATGTATAGCATTTGGCTGCAAGAGGAACTAAACATTTTTTTTGCTTTCTAGAAAGCAAGAAGATTATATTGCTCACCAAGACATATAAGGCTTGTTCAGCCTGGAGAAGGATCCAGGGAGACTTTATAGCAGCCTTCCAGTACCTGAAGGGGCCTACAGGGAAGCTGGAGAGGGACATTTAACAAGAGTATGTAGTAACAGGACAAGGGGGAATGTCTTCAAACTGAGAGCAAATTTATATTATATATTAGGAAGAAATTATTTATTGTGAGGGTGGTAAGGCATTGGAAGGGGTTGCCCAGAGAAGCTGTGGCTGCCTCATTCCTGGAAGTCTTCAAGGCCAGGTTGGATGGGGCTTTGAGTAACCTGGTCTAGTGAAAGGTATCTCTGCCCATGTCAGAGGGGTCAGAACTAGATGGTCTTTAAGGTCCCTTCCAACCCAAACCATTCTGTGATTCTATGATAATGCAGAGAAGTGCAAAAGGGAGCTGCTTATTTCTACACACACTTCCACTCGACTAAAACCTGTCCCTTTTCCAAATATTTAGTCTGTATTTGCACCAGCTCCTGTAGGAAACTTGCCATGTACATATTAACCACCCAAATGAAGCTCCCAAGCAACAAAAAGCCATGTTTTAAACAGACAAGCAGACAAACATGCATTACTCATAAAGTCATGTTTAGCAGCATTCCAAGAGAAACCTATTTCAAGGTGCCTTTTTTTTTTGTTTAAAACAAATGTGTTTTGTCTTGCATTCAAATTAATCTTGTTAGAGCTTCATCTTTCTTGCCTCACTGCTCTCACACTTGCCTCTCATGCTTACAAAGAGTTAGGAGGCATTCACATATTCATATCATATGACACTATGGAAAAAAAGACATGCAAAGTCCTGGGGACTGCCACTTTCACAATCAGTGCCTCCGGTGGCATTTTGCAGTCTGCATCACGTGAAGTGTAAGAGGTTGTCTTACAGATACAGCACAGATTCCTTCCAAATGTACACACCCATTGCTTTTGTATGTCTTTCTAAGCTCTAATACCCTCTTTTAGCTCATAAGTAAATTTTTGTTCAGCTCAGCTCTTGCAAAAGGTCATCAGATCTACTGCTAAAAACATGGAAACTGATATGGGGAGGTGTTTTCATCAGTAAGTTTCCACCTATGACCAGTGGCACAAGAAAGTAAACCCAAAATGACTCAAAGTGCCACAGAGAGGAAGAATATTTTTGCTTGAATACAGAACATGGGGCCGAGCACTTAATGAGGGCTGCCCAAATTGATTTCTTGTACAGGAATGCATAAAGGTGGAAGGGAACCACACACAATTTTCTCCAGAAGCCACTCATGTGGACAGACAGCTTGAAAGCCATCAGGGCAGCCCCAGTGTCGTGCCATCCTACAGCAATCTGGGGAGCACAGCCCAAGCCTACTCCATGGTGCAAACCAAAACAAGGGTAACGGGGAACCATCTCCTGATCACTCCTGACCTGAACGGTGACACTGCTTCTGAAGAAGAAAGGAGAACTGGCATGGAATCATAGAACAGTTTGGGTTGGGAGGGATCTTAAAGATCATCTAGTTCCTGTCCCCTGCCATAGTCAGGCACACCTCTCACTAGATCAGGCTGCTCAAAGCATAGTGATATTCTGACTTTTTTCCGCCCTCATTTTGTTTCTGATCCCTTGACAGACATGAGCAGTCTCTCCAGACAAGAAGTTCAGCAACACTCTGAACTTCTGATTTGAGCAAAAAAAACATTTCTGTAGAAGAGGAACTGCACTGTGAGGCAAATCCCCTCCATCTGCCCAAGGAAGGAGTGGAGCAGAGCCACATTTCCCTGGGACAACAAAAATATTTCTAGTAATTTCCCAGTCATGTCCTACCATTTTGAGGAGAGCAACATGTTGTCACAATCTTTACAGGATTAGTATTTCTGCTCAGAAACACTTCACTGAAAACAAGAAACCAGATCTTCTCTTTTTAGTGTCTTTGGAGTTCTCCACCTGAGTACGGAGTCAGGAAGTTCCCACATTTCCAATCACAGGGAATGGGATCCAGCTTAGACATATAAGTCTGTGCAAAGAGGAAGAGGAGGGAAGGGAGAGGCTACTCAAGGGCTGAGGCAGATTTGGTTTCATGCTGACACACAAATTCTTCTAAGCCATGAGTGACACACTGCAACCCTGAAGTACACTCTTCCACTGGGGAAGGGTTAGGGTGAAGAGGGGATGTACACGCCCATGCTCAGGTGTTACTGGGTTCTCAGCAGAGCCTGTAACCACAGGAGGAGAGTCTGGGCTAGGCTACTTACTAAAAGCACCTTTGACTGCGAGGGTTGCCCCTGTGACCTGACTCAGCTTGCCTGGTCTGTGCTGGGGAGAGGTTACCCTCTCTCCAGCCTGCCTTTCATTTGCATTGTACCTGGGTGCCAGGATCTGGCCCCACAGCATTTAGAGATGTTATTGAGAAACACTGAAGCCAAGAACTTTCCACTACTGATAAATAGTCTGGTCAGGAGAATGGGATAGGTCTCTTCTAGATATGCATTTCAGATTCAGTTCTGTCCAAAATGAGCTGATGGCTCTTTCACTGTGCAGAAGGCACCACAGAATCTCATTCCTTGGGCAAGTGGAACATGCTACCCAATGCATAAGGTTTCAGTGCACAAGAGTTTGGAGGAAAGGGTGGTAAGGACTTTGCTGTCAAATGTCTTCTTTTTTGAAATTTTATATGTTCCACATTCTGCAACACTTTGTAACTATGCTTTTCTTACTCTGAAAACAGATTAACCCAGACCTAAAAGAACAGCTAAACAATAGATTCAGTGGATCCAAATGTTATGCACCAGCGATCACTCTGTGCCTGCCTGCACACAGACCACAGCTCCTTGCCTGAGCCTGGAAACCACATTCTCAGCTGCTACTCTTGGCCATAGAGTGACTGATGT